CCATGCCTCCTCCATCCATGTCCACACCAATCCGCTCTCCTCTCTCATAACAACAGATTCGCGTATGGCAAAGTGGGCAACGCCTCCTGAAGGAAATGCATGCGAGAATGTCCATTTATTCTCGTCCCACCTCTCACTCGTCACCTTAAAATCTGCAGAGGGCTGCTCTGATCCTCTCCAAATTGACTAACTGCTAGGCTGTCAACTGTACTCCAGTCATTATATCAGCCATAGGCAGGAGGCATTCAATTGCACTTCCAGTCTGACCCGCAGAACATGCTACAGCGTTCAAAGGATTGGTATGGCAGATGTCTTGCTATATACAAGAAGGTCGCATTGCCTTGGCTATCTTAATGCCCTCTGAATGAGTGACTTTGATTTCTCTTGTGGGTAACTTTCTGTGTGGCAATATTTGAAGACCATCATGGAGAGGTCAGAACGAAATGTAGCTGCGTCGTAGGGAGAGACAAGTGATAACACCTAACCAGCCAGTTCCATTTTGGCTACACTGTGCAGAAGAGGTGGAGTGGTGGGACGCAAAGACACAGATGAGGGAAAATTTCGACGAATGACAAGTAACACCGAGCTCTTTCCCTCCTACACCCTTATTCCACTCACGCTTTACAGGAGGTTCTTTCACGTGGTCAATGTGTAAGGGATGCCTGCTTGAGTCCTGCAATCTCTCGCATTCGTGACCACATAAGTTCACCATTCCTCATAGTTGTACAGTGCTGAATGGAATTTTGCAATCATACGAGTACTTTAAATTCACACTTTTGGGGAACTTGTAGACGTGAGAATGAAGGGTGATTTTAATGAGCAAGTTGTGTGATGGCATGCAGAAATGGAAATTGGGGGCCATAAACCATTCCACACACTTTTACAATCGCTTTAGTTGTGAATAGGAAAAATGGTAAAAATGTAGTGAGTAACCTCAAATTCAGCATTAACATCCTCATGTTTCCTCACCAAATTGTTCTGCTTCAATGCGTATCACACGACGACGCGACAAGATTATTTGAAAAGACCCACAACTTATGCTATAAGATTTCGCAATTCATATTCATTACACGTAGTGGCCAGACAGTCGGGTTAGGGGAAACACTGCCGTTAGCAGTGCCTATGCCTTTTGGAAAAATTAACACAGTTGTTTGCATGCGTTGGACCACATTTGTAAGGAAATCACAAGCCTACTTATGCCTTGAAACAACTGAAGTCCAAAAGTTGTACCCCATTTGGTTTACAGCAGTCAACCACTTTCCAGTCACCTAAATTAAATATCAAAACCTGCAAAAGATTAAACAGTAAGGAGGTCTAGTGGTTGTCAATCAGAAGGTATCCACTACAGGAAATCACATTATTGTAAGGCAGGTGTGAATGTTTGGCGACTGATGCAATCCCTGCTCCGTGCACACCTACAGTGGAAAAGATTGCCTCTACTAAGTCAAGATCAGGAGAGCATTGAATGAAATGGTGGGTAATGTGCACTGACTTACGGAAGAGTTCAAGCAGGCACCACACCCATGCAAGCAAGTAGGATTGCAGAGATTGTGAAAGTTAAGGCAAATGCGCCAGACGTGGTAGCACCTTCTTCCCCTTCTATGAAAAAAGAATGCTCCTAACAATATCGCATAAGAGACAGACAGGGCTCATGTGTAAGCTGTGCCATGACGAGCATTGACGACCCCCTCTCTGTGGTTTGCTCAAAGAATTCTCACATGCTATGACACAGGACATGCCAATGCGGATAGGAGGTGGTAGTAAGTAGTATGGTTGTATGTGGACTTGCACAACATAATCACACGCACTAGTTGCCTTCATCCCCAATTGCCTGCACAGTTCCTCCGCATAAGTTGTAAGGCTATATTGCATCGACGATGACAGGTCCAAGTGGGAAATGTGCAACTGTACACGTTGACAAACCAAAGTGGGGGAGTGACACCGCCGTTAGCTCAGTTTGGTCTGCCTGTTGTACAGCCGCACCTTGCACATCCCAACTTAACTGTACGCGCTGAGACCACACATGACCCAGGGGTCTTTCCTGTCCTTACCCTCCTTGGCATTGTCGTTGTAGTGAGATATCCATGATACGTTGCACAGTAAATGCAACGTTGGTGCTCTAGTTCACTTACTTATCGGATTCTGGAGCATTTACCCCAAACATAATGACAAAACTAGTAGTGAGGAAGGTAACTTCTTCATGGTTGGCTTGAAGATGGAACATTCAACACTTGTAGTATAATGGAGATCAGTGCATGTGGGTCGCTGTATGTACGGACTTATGGCTTGAGCGCACTTTGTTATTCCAGTTTATGGGTGAATGCAAGCAACAAGAGGCAATGCATCGCGAATGAATTAAACTTATCAGTCAGCAATGTTGTAGTTGTAAGCTTGCCACCCTCTGAAAAAAAAGGCATTATGAATGCTCCAGTCAAACATCATGCATGAGCATTCCATTGGGATGAGCAGATTAAGGGAATTTCAGCTCTGAATGATGCAAACGTATTTCCAAGTAGATGTGACATTCAGCTGTGAATGAGAGCAACAAAGGCAATGCATCTGGAACAAACTCAACTTACTATTTGGCATTGTTGAAGAGGTACTTTTGCCACCTTCTGAAAAATAAGGCATTGTACATTAGACATGGTGCAAGTAGTGTGTTTCACTCATCCAACGAAATGTAAAGCATCTCCACATAACGTCATGCCAGTGGTAGTAGTAGTGGTAGCAGTAGGGAAGGGAACTTCACTGTGGTTGCCTTCAAGGTGCGATATTTGAAATGCTCGTTCCGCCATGCATTAGGATTAATGACTCCTCATATTCTGACTTTCAACCTAGGCGATCTTTTTAATTTACGTTTTCTCGTGAATGCGCAAGTCAAATGGCAAGATTGAGCATCTCACTGGAGCGAGTGAGTGGGTTTACTTCACTCCACCTTAATTTGTCTCTTTAATGTGACCACTTCACAGGATTGGTGTGCCGTCAAACGATTAGTGAGATGGGAATGATAAGGCATTTCCAGGTGGCAGAGTAATGAGTTTTTAACCTGATGGCATGGTATGCAGTGCAAGATGCTGTAACAGCAGTGAAAGCTGTGAAGGTCCCTCACCTCTACCTATGCTGTCAAGTCCAAGCCATCTTTTTGACTTAGCTTCAAATGCATGCAATAAAATGCAATGGATATGCGAAGAATAGGACTTACCATCAGGCACTGTTGTAAAGTAAGTTGCGCTAAATATAGGAAAGCCGCTCTTTCGAGGTGCTTTTACGACCAACTCGTAATAGGTGCTGGGCAGCAATCCACATAAAGTGATGTTTCCAGTATCGACATCTGCTTTAGTCTTAGCAACAGGGCCATGTATATAAATTGGTGTCGCACTTGCTTCAATTTGAATCACTCCGAGTTCAGACAAATATTTTTCATCCCAATTTATTTGAAGGGTAGTAAGATTCAATAAATTCCATGTAATGCCTCCTGAAAAAGGAACAGCATTGTATATTAAGCAGGCTGCAACAATTTTCGGAGCATTTTCCTCCTAATGCCACTAAATCAGCATTGATGGAAAAAGGAATGTCACTAGGTTTGCCTTTAAGATGCAACAGTTAGCCAGTTTGATCCACCAGGCACAGGGGTTAGTAAGTGTTGCCATTCCACATGGAATCGCCTGTCATAGTCTTACATGAGCGTGGGTGGGAGTGTAAATTAATTTGAAGAATGAAAGCACATACACTCTTGACGATACTGCTTGATTATTGTTGTCAAATTTAAAGGCAAGTATCTCTTGCCAATCGGTCTAGCAATTGCTACTTGTTTGTAACCTCCTTATCAGGAACCCGCTTATTTGAAATGTACTAAGGAGGTGAAATTGACAAGACAGGGATGGGAATGCGCATCCATGCCAATGTTGGCATGATCATATGCATGTGTCAAGCCAACTTGCACTTGACAGCCAACGGTATAGCCCACACTTGTGGATGACATTGTGGAGGCAGTGGTAGGTGCTTCCAATGGCAGCAATGGCAGCAGATGCACAGGAAGCCGTACTGTGTGTATGAGCAAGCGATTAATACTTCTGTGAAGTCACATGGTTGACCTCTCCGAATGCATGCTTACATATGACAAACCCACTTTTTGCCTCGTACTTGCACACTCCTCTCCCACATTCGGACTGAGAAGTCAACGTCTCCCACTACCCGAAGAACAGTTCCGTATCCAAACCTTCCTGCATTTGTACCCACCCTCCCCATTCACTTTACCAAATAAACATGACATTCTATGCGTATGAAGGCCAAGGAAGTTGCCATCTAGGAGGCACGTCACTAATCGCCATAGTCAAGTCATGCTGTAGCAAATGGCAGTAGGAAATATCATGCAGACGTGTAAGGGCCACAAGGAGAAAATATAAGCATAATTGTATTAATTATATCAAGCTTTGATTCAAAACATGTAAAGAATAAAAGACATCGACCAGCGTAGCAAATGCTGCTGTATGTCAAACGCTAATTCGCATATGCTGAGGAGAGTCAATAATAAGAAGCCAACTTACGCCCTGCTCCTCCACTGTCTTCAGCCAGAATGGAGAAGGCAAACAAAATGAGACAGAAGTGAGGCACCGCCATCACCACAAATGTTGTTGCATTGACAACCTCCATGGCATTTATACGAACGCTTTCCAGGTTATCAGCCAATGAAACGTCGCCTTCTTGACCCACAAATCCACTTCTTCATGAGTTCTAGCATGTCACGACGTTGTGTCCTTGCACGAAGTCGTTCAGGTATCAAATGTGCTTGCAGATAGTGCAGAGCGGTGCATTCCATACATTTTCATTGATTCAGAGGTCATCTCCTCATTGCTAAAGTCCTTCAGTCTGCATTTGTGTGCAACGATGCACTTCTGCCTGCCCGATCATAATGTTAAGCACATCCGCCGGCAAGAGTGGAATGGTGAATTGCGGATTATTCGTGGACTGCCACGTCTCCTTGTCTGTTCCAAATGTATCTATAGCGGTGGTGGAAAGCTTGGAAAAGGTAGAGATGTGATGGCATAAAGAAGTCATTGTCGTGCCCATCACAACCACTTACACACACACTTACTCATTTGAACCATCAATGCCTGTGTGATCAACATCTACACGATGCTACCCTGTCACATGCAGTGTGACACGTGATAACACAGCACACACTCTTTGACAAATTTCCCCTTGGAGGAGGCCGGAATACGCCGACCCTGTCAGTAGTCCAATTTGGCTCACTTACTTGGGCGAAGCACTTCTCCATCAGTGGACCGCGCTGATCACATCGTCTCGGCGTTTACCCCTGAGAGGCAAGACAGCCTAGTGCTAAACAATGTATTCATACATAGCTGAAGGAAGTAGACGGTAAAATTTGGTCGCTTGTGAGCATTTATTTAAATAATTTGGGCCTGACTTAATTTCCGCTTTCTGCAGTGGCAAAAAACACTTTTGGGACAAACAAAGAGATGTAGTAGTCCACGATTAATCTTTTGCTGTTTTTCCCCAACAAACAGAATCGGAGCTCCTTCACAAACTCTGCCACACTGTCCGTTTGCTGCGCTGCTAATTCTCTGCCACAAACCCGTCTATGTGCACGGACTCACTAGTAAAGTGCAATTGTTACAGTCTTTGAAAAGAATTGGAGGGATGAAAGCACATAATTTCTTGCACAAATGATCTAAAAAACCGCTTTAGTGAGTACACATTGCTCACTTGTCCATCATCTACTCCACTGAGACAATCTGCGTCTTCTAAGAGTAACAAGACGTTAGTCTGCCATCACGTTCACCATCGTAATTGCAATACATCAGTAAATCAAGTGCACTCACCCATTCTCTCTCTGTGGATTCAGTGGGAAGAGTGTGGTCCCTGTCCTCCGTCCTCCGTAAGCTCTCACTCCTCCGTCCCACCCTCTCTGCCACTTACTTAGTAAAGCGTGCGCTTTGCAGGCGCTGTCAATGCATTGCTGAAGTTCTGTGATGTAGTTATGTTTGGCATTGGAATGAGGATAGATGCTGATGCTGAGATGAGGGAAGTTGATTAGTCGAACAGAACTGGATATATGATTAGTGGGATGGTTAGGAGTTGGATTGAGGAGGTAGAATTAATGTGAATTTGGGTGAGTGAATCAAGCGCGATGCAGGAGTAGCCTGAGGAATAAACGCACGTGGATTCACGATTTAGAGGTGGTTTTACAGCACCAGATGGATGGATAGGTGGATTGATGAATGAACTCTGAAGTGATGGTATGTCTATGCGATTGGTGGATGCATGAATTGAGAATGAGTGACTGGTTGGAGGGGAATATTGTTGGACTGATGAATATGTGTGTGAATTTCAAAAAATGTTTACATTTAAGTACAAGGCAACGAGCGACTGGAAGTGTGGTTCACACCCCTATGGACCGTCTGTTGGAGAAGACAGTTGTGGAGACTTGTAGTTTGCATTCAGCAGGTCTTTTTTCATCTCCTTCCTATTGATATTCTATACGAGGTATTGCACATCCAATTTTATGGTGTTTCCCATGCCAAGTTGTTAAAAATTCCAGCGAGTGCCTTTAATTGAGTTTCTTGAATCAGGACCAGCACGAGATGAGATGGATCTTTTGAAAGCCCTTTGTGTTTTTTATGTCACCCAATATCCGGCGTGTCCTTATAGCTTTCGACAACCGCGCAAGGTCGAACATGCTTTGGTTCTGTAAGAATTGGATGGATGGAGATTCCTAAGGTGAGATTATGAGAAAAGCAATCCCAGAACATTTTGAAGTGAAAGCTCCTTCTATTAGCAAAGTCTTGCAGTTATTTTTCAAATTGTAGGAGGACTCGTGATAATCGAACTGTAAGGTCGACTGTCACGACATCCACAGGCATTCCTACTACTCAGAGAGGAAGTGAGCTGTCGAAGCACGGAATGTCTGAGGTGGCACTGATATGTCTCGGTGGCCCTACCGCCTAGCGGCGCTTTAAGTGTCCTCGTAATCGAAACAACGTGTTACAGAGGTAATCGCGGTATGACATGGCTCTTCTCCTCCTGTGAGCATTGTCTTGGGCGGCCCTGTTGGTCTACCTACTGTGTCAGCCAGCACAACATAATAGGTGGTGTGGTCGCACAGTGAAAGGCCTTCTTGACCATCATCTCTCCTCAGACATTTAAGTCAAAATATGCACACCACAAGTACCCATCGTGAAGGTTAATATTGTTTGAACACGAAACAGAGGTTGTTGATTTATAACTCCAATCATTCGCAAATGCGTGATTTCACTCCCTACTGAAATGCTGATTAAGTAGCACGTCCATTTGTCAAGCTATCATCCTACCTCGGAGCTGCAGGAGCCATCTCATTAGCCCAGATATTATTTTGCCAAAATACTTTGGGAACCATAGATTAATTCTTGAGGTCGCAAGACGAGGATCTCGTCACACTCCCAAAACAAAACCGAGACGTAGGGAAATCGGCAGCGAGGTACTGCACAATGCAAAACCGAGCAGTGGGTAAGTAGAAAGAAGGAAGGAAAGAAGGAACGTGATAGAATGGAAAGAGCGCAGAGAGGGAGAAAGGAAGAAGCGGAAGGGAGAAATGTACTACCTCTGGCCCATCCTCCACACTCACCTTATCTCCACTTCTGGGTAAAAATGTCGCCTGTCTCTATGTTCACTTACGTCGACTTATCAATTTGAAAACCTAAATTGTGGAAATGTACAACCCTTAAAACACTCCACCCAAGCAAAAGGCATCCAATCAGCACTAGTCAAGAGGTGATCATCTCGTAGATGCCCAGGTTAACTGAGCATAAAGAACACAAGATTTGCAGGTATATTCCCGAAATGGGATGAAAGTGAAGTCAATCATTAATAAACTTGCTTTGTACTTTGGCAGCTTTCCATGAACAGTTTCTCAAAATGGTAATGTCAGGTCGAGATTTAAGCATCAAAGTGCAGAAAAATTCACCATATTCTTCCATGTACACTAAGTGATGTGTGAAAAATGGGAGTTGAATGCTACAAGAGGAAAGGCATTTATTGGTGCTGGTCTGATTAGAAACCGTCGATCTTGATGGCAAACGCACCTTTATATGGGTACGCTCTAGAGGAAACTGGTGGCAAATCTGCTTTCAATGCGATAGCCGATGCTACAGAGCAGTATGTCAGATTAGTTAGAGCTCTTTACCACAGAGCTCTCTCAAAACATTGTAAGTCTTCACGCTCCCGTATTTCAGATAAAAAGCCCAACTTTCCCATACCAAAGTGTATTACTATTCCCCTACTACAAGTGGCCTACGACGCAGGTAATTTGCTTCCGATCTTTAAACGTTTCGGTCTACTAAACATAGTAATGCCTGCTTTTGTTGAATATCCATATTTTGTCATGATTTTGGAAGGGAATGAGCATGCAAATAGGTGTTTGCGGTTGCCTCATCACTTTTCCTTCTACCACCAATTTTGAATGCCTAAATTGAAGGAAGCAGCTCGTAAACGCTACATTTGGAATGCGAAACTAGAGGGTGATCTGAGTTTTGTAGGAAATCGGATTTCCCTCTCCCTCCTCCTTCGCATTTATTTGTCTGAATTTTAGATATTTTATTCAATTTGCCCACCTGCTGGTTAAAAGGCCTAGCCAGCCAAACTTTCTTATAAATAATCTTCACAAATCAATCCAGAAATAGTTGCGTGTTCAGTGTGAGCATGAGAGTCGGATGAAACACTAAGCATTGTATCTACGCTTCATTTTAGGTGCAGTTTCCTCTAGCGTACTGTTCAACCATATGGGATTTTCTGTTTTCATTTTGCAATCTTCCAACCCTTTCCTACATTAACGCCAACACGTTACCTCCATACCAGTAGAGATGAGTGCATCGTCGAGACATTCCACAATACCACCGTGCTGCTGTTTGTCCCCCGAATTGCGCGGCATCAGATAAGGCGAGACTGCTGTCATAATTTGCTGCACAGTCAATTCGGCTGGAAAGCTAACTTTGGCACATTTCTAGGTTGACGGGAACAAGCTAAAATACGCCCAATGTCACACTATTCTTGCACACAATTTCCTTACTTGCCAGTGCTCCTCAGCTTACCGCAAAATAGGCATTTGAGGAGGTGCAGTCATTTTATTTTGCAATATCCAGTAGCGATGCGAACCGAAGTCACACCTGCTACCTAGAACAACTTAAGTCTCAGCCATTCAACATTCGCACATTTGGACGAGACGACGATTTCAAATTAAATTTACTGGTCACAACACTCCGATTTGGCACCAGTTTGCATTCTTCTACTTTAATAATGATATTCTATTTCAGCCGTACAAAAAGTGACTAACGTTTCTCAACTTACGCTAATTGTAGCAATTCTGTTTTCCTCTTTAAAAGACACCAAAACATTCTTCATCTGACAGGTAGACGAAAGCCACTCTTGTCCACTTTGGCGGGGCGAGTAATCAAACGCTCTTCACGAGTACGTGGAGGAGACCAGTGGTTCTCCTATGGGCACCCACTATGCTTTGGCTTACAAGGATGGAGTTACTGGAGCATATACCCTATCTTGCGAAGGCTTTCTTCAAAACACCTTAAGTGGTTTCCTTTCTGACTAGTCGCAGTTGAACTCGGACAGGTAAAACTGTTGCCACGCCACAAATGGCAAGTTAGAAGCGCTATTTGAGGCAACAGTGAGGCCGATTCTGCTAGCGCAAAGGCAAACATAACCCAAATTAATAGCTATTTCATCAGATATAACTTCTACTTACAACTGGTAAATCGGCCCATTTGGGGGAGATAATGTGGTAAAGGAATAACAAGTAGGGCTTAGGCAATTATAAAACAAGCTTGCGATTGTGGACTCAGTCACTTCCATGCAACAGTCCTCCATGGCATCCGTTTAGGTGTCAGCAGCAAAAATTGATACAATTGTCCCCACTTGCAGCTACTTTAGGCTTCATGTCAAAGCATACTTCTCACGAGTTGTCCTTGCCTGCAGAGGATTCACTACTTGCTAGGGGTAGTCCAAACAGGTAATAGGCTGTAATGATGACCCTTTGACTTTACAAGTGAAAACACTGGCACTGCATTAGTTAATGAGTCAATGTGCCCTCTCGTCCAGGTGAAAATCTTACCCACATTTGTCTCGCAATATCACTGACAGCCAAATAAGTTATGACGGATTTAGTGTAGCAGCCTGTGGTCGTGTTTGCGCAGTTAGTATTTCAGACACAACTGGCGGCTGGTGAGGAAATCTATCGTCGTGCAAGTGACTGACAGAGTGGATGCTGGTACGAAGTGCCCCTTCATTCCTAATGAGCTCACAGTTGGAGCACCGACTTCGCATCGACCCTCCTATACGTACATGGATAGTGCTGCGGCAATGAAGTAGTGGGTGATGCTAGAATTTTGATGTCAATACATGATAATAATAATAATAATAATAATGATGAGAAAGAATATCGTTTATGATAAGTGGCGATGCAATTGTTGGCCAAAAGCAGTTATGAGTTCAAATGCCTATGCTTAATGCACATAAAACTGACATTTGCCAAGAACGCCTAGTTATGATTGTGACGAGAATGATGGTGACGAGGCGGGATTATTTCATTGACCAGCTCTTTAATACTTGAATTTCAGGAAAGCTTGCTTCCTGGACGAATGGAAATAATGTGATGGTCATTGGTGTCATTCTGTAACTAAAGTATCTTGGTAGGGTAAGGCAATTGAGGGGCTTGGAAGCTGTTCAGGCATAAATTCTTGATTAAGTTGTTTGCATAGTAACAGAAAGCTTAGTGTTATAAAGCAATGCGTGAGAGCGCACAAAATTGCCTACCAACATGTGGAATAATTTAGTGAGGAGAAGGAATTGTTTCTCCACATTCTACTCCAAAGCCGCTTTACTGTCGTAATCTCTATACAAATCTAAGTGTGTTACCAAATTTGGGCCACGCATCGAACATTGAATCTACTCGAATGCAGGCTACCAACGCTTTCCTTTTCCCACTGCGCCTATGCACTTGTAGTACTAGTCAATTTACTGACACCTAGTTAACAGTCAGGAAGCTCAACCCTCCGGCTTACCGTCGAGTCCGCATGCGCAACTGACTGACTGTACTAACGATATCACAAATGGGGATGTAGCCGCTAGTCCATTACCATTTCATAGTTATTCCAGCTTGAATCTCCATATGGTCCATTTCTATGCAGAGAATAGTTGATGTCCTGTCTTGACGGAGGAGTCCCATCTACGGGCATGGGTCCCACACTTCTACCTGGTAGTGGAAGTGAACGTTTGTTGCAGTTATATGTAATACAGGTAGCTAGCAGGTCAGGAAGAGGATTTCGGCTAAATAAAAGAGCACAGAAATGGAATTTGAGGAAAAAATTATTTGCTGTAAACGCCAATCGCCAAGCAGCCTAAATGGCCTCAATCCAACAACTTCGATACGGATTCTCAGTTTGGGGACAAGTGGTCAACCTGAACTTCGAAACCTGATGATGTCTTCTGC